AGATGGGGGGGTAGGAACTTGGGCAGCCCCGCCCCGTCCCACCCCCGCGGGGTTAGCCCAGCCCCGCGCACGTCCCGCGGGAAGCAGCGCCGCGGGGCGGGGCAGACACCCCGTCTTCCGCCCACTGGGGCGATTAGCAAGCCTGGGGTGGGGGGCAGGGGCAGAGAGGCACAGGCCTCCTGACCCGCTGGAAGCGCCCGTTTCTGGGGGAGGCAAGCCAGGCCAGGTTGGGGAGGTTATTTGCCCAAAGCCAGGTAAGACCCCAAAGGACCTTAGAACCTGCCCCCTAGTTCCCGGGCCAGTGCTCAGGGGCGTTGTAGCCTTGGACACGGGCCTCGTGTGTGACCTACCGGTGTCTTACACGCAGCTGCCACAGAGGGAAACTGAGGCCCAGGGAAGCCCCGGTGGGAAGGGTAGTGGGGCTTCCAGCCCCGAACACACTGCCGAGTGTGGGGCAGGCCTGGAAGGGGCCGGCGGCCTGTTCTGGGCTGTGAGCCTCTCCGCCGGCCTGCCAGGGCGTGTTGGTACCTGGCACCGGCCACGTGCTCAAGGATGGGCTGCGGGAGGGGCAGGACTTGAGCCTCCCCTAGGGACAAGGGGCAGAGGCTGTTCCAAGAGGGTCATGGGCGAGGAGGGGGTGCCAGAGGAGGCCACGAACAGGAAGCAGCCGCACAGCAGGCTCTTGACCAGAAGGCTGAGCCGCCAGGATGTGGGCTGAGGGCCTGGCGTCTCTGTGGGGCAGAGCGGGCCCCCCGCAGGGCGTAGGAGACAGGTGTCACCATCAGGCCCTCCGTCAGCTCCCCTGAGGCCACGGAGCTTGTCCACTGGTGGTGAACGGGGCTGAGCAGCAGGGGGGGGGAGTAGCAGGTGAGGCAGGGAGGCAGGCTGCCTCTTCTCAGTCTCCAGATGGCTGCTTCGCACCCCCAGAGGGAGCCTGGGCCCCCACAAGGGAAACTGAGGCTCACCCAGGAACAAGGTTAGAGCTACAGCAGTGGACCTGGGCTTTGAACCAGTGGCACCTGTTCCCAAAGCCTCCCAGTGGGTGGCTCAGGTGGAGTGAGAGGCTCACAGGGAGGGGCCTCCTTTTTACTATGCACACTTTTGTCTTTTCATTATTTTATTTTTGAATCTGGGTTTTTAAAATTTGTATTTTCTCTTACTTAGTTTTGCCTGGATGTGCTCTCTCTGTTTAAAAAAGTAGCCATGCCCCATAAAGCAGATCCATCCCTTGTCACCCAGCCCTACCCCAGCCCAGACACACACACACACACACACACACACACACACACACGTTACCAGTGGGCTGTGGATCCTTCCAGACTTGTTTTCTGGTACGTTGGACACTTTCATAGTGGAAAAACTTCAGAGGTTATAATGAGGGGGCTTAGCTGTGAGTCCTTAAACACAAACAAAAAAGCACAATCCCTGGGACAATGGTGACTTCCAGGGAGAGACAAGGCCTGGAGGGTTGGGTAAGCTGGGGAGGGAGGGGCCAGAGAAAGGGCAAAACCCTTTATGCTGTTTCTGGGCAGTTTTGTCACCTTTTATAGGGAGGGTCACCTATAGGGAGGCCACAGAAAACCGGAGGATCCCCCAGAGACCCACCGGCTCAGCCCCACTTAACAGATGGAGACACAGGCGGGGGCAGTGAGGCCCTAGGGCCAGAAGTGGAGCATCACAAGGATAGGAGGTCCTGGGTCCCAGTTTGGGGACAGGGAAGGCTCAGACCCTGTAACCACTGCCCTGATGCTCCATGGGGGCTGGGACATGGGCCTTAGGACTGGAGAGAGTGAGGCTGTTGGCTCCAGAAAGCCTTCTAGTCCTGGTCAGTGGGCGGAGCAGCTGAGTTGGGGTGAGACAGGCTGTAGGTACCCAGCTGGAATGGGGAAGGAGGCTGAGAGAGGGGAGGCGACAGCTGTTGTGAGTGGCCAGCAGACTCCCAGCTCAGGGGGTGGTAGGGGTGGAGTTTTTGGTCTGTTACACAGACCCAGAAAGTTCTGTGAGTCCCTGTGCCTCAGTTTCCTCCTCTGGACCGTGGGAGTAGTCACGAGTCCACCATGGAGGCCGAGAGGGCCGTGTGGCTCAGGCTCCATGAAGAGTAAGTGAGGTGATCACCATCAGGATGAGCCCAGCCTGGCCCACAGCGCACCTCCACCAGCGCCACGCCCGCTGGTGCCAGGCATTCCCGGAGGCCTAGAACCTTCTCCGGACCCCAGGTCCTGAGTCTTCTGCTTTGCCCATTTTGGCCTGTTTTGGAGGCACCCCTGTGAGTGGCCCCAGGCCTGAGGGTGGGACCTTCTGAAAGGCATTTTCACCTGTGTGTAAAGTGGCCAACCAGCTGGCGTTTTCTCAGCCTTGGGTCTGCTCCATGGAGTAAATGGGGCAAGTGACCCCCAACACTCATACCCATAGCCCCTCATTCGTCTGGCCCTCACTTGAGCCTTCCCTTCACCGCATGAAGCAGGCAGGGCAGGTTATACCCACTTGCCATAGGAGGAAACTGAGGCCCAGAGAGGAGCTTTGGCCTGGGGTCACCAAGCAGATTGGAGGCAAAGCCAAGGTTTGGGTTCTCATCAACTTCTGACAGAGTTAGAAACAAGGGTGGGTGGCTTTACCCTCTGCCTGAGTCCCCAGCCCCTTCCTGGCCATGATCTGGCGTTTCCTGGCCCTCCCTGGGGCCCCTTTCCAGAGCCGATTTCTCTCAGGCCTGCCTGGTCCAGCCACCCTGCCCAGCCTGGCCCATCATGACTCAGCTTGGTAGGTCCTCCAGTGTGGTGATTCAGGAGCCAGGCAGTCCCCAAGAGGCCCAGGAAACTCCCTGCCTGGCTCCCCCCACGTGGGTCAGCTGGCCTCTCTGTTTGCTGACCCTCCCGAACCTCTGATCCCCCAGGCCCAGTGCAGCATAAATACAGCCAGGCCTTGAAAGAGGCAGCCTGGATTGGGCACAGGAGTACCGGGTCACGCCCTACTCTGTCACTTCAGCCATAGGGAAGCCACCACCGCCTGGTGGACCTTTGTTCTGTGCAGTGGGGGACTTAGATGGTGGGCTCCAGGGCCAGGTCACTGTGTGGGGATTTCTTAGGCATGTGCTGGGTGTTGTTAGGGTAACATGAACACCCCCACCCACAAAACCTTGGGGTGTTGGGCTCTGAAAAACCTACTCGGGGCAGCCCTGGCTCTGAAGCTGATGGCTGTTTGGCCTCCAGGTTGAGCAGGGCCTCGCCCTGCATCTGCTCCCTCCCGCCACCCCTCCACACCAGCCTGCCTTGTCCTCTGTAACCCCTGCATCCCCTCCTGTGTGTCCCTGTGGAGAAAGTGCTCGCTGTCCTTCCAGCACCCTCTTTCCCAGATCCCAGGCCAAGATGCCCCTTCTGAGGGCTGTGCCCCTCTCAGGACCTCCCTGCTCAGTCCACCCTGGGTCCCCAGCCCCCACCTTGGGTCCCCAGCCCCCACCGTAGCTGGCTGTGATGGAAGTTTAGTGAACTGAATCCAGTATGTGGCTTCTTACCTCATGCAAACAGATACCCCCAGATTCTCTAACTAGGGTCGGAGTGTGTTAGTGGGAGCTCAGCTCCCTCATTTTATGATGGGGAAGCTGAAGCTTAGGGGCATTGACAGGCTTAGGGTCCCCCAGCAGGCCCCGGCAGAGCTGGCCTCAGATGCCCAGCCTGGGCTCCCTGCCCCCTTACTGTCTCTGGACTCTCAGCCCCAGTGAGCATCTCAGCTTGCCAGGGGCATGGCATGCTGCTGGACACCTCGTAGGTCTTCAGTGCAAACCTTGGGGCTGCTGGGCAAGGGGGCATGGCCAATGATCATAATGGAGAAGTCTGATGTTTGGGTCCCCAGCTCTGGGGGTGGCAGCGTCCAGGCCGGAGACAGAGGCCTTCCTTACCCTGAGCCCGGCCAGCCTCTCAGTGCTGCTGTGGGGACTTCCCCAGCCTTGCATTCCTGTTAACTCCTGTCCCTTCCCACTCACCACCTTGGGGGCCCTGGGTGTCAAGGCAGGAGCAGGTTTTCAGCCCAGGTCAAGCCTGGCCCCAGAGTGCTGTGTGACCCGAAGTAGCCTCCTTTCCCTCTGGCGCACAGGAAGGGAAGGTGATTTGTGGGTGGGCCGTGGGGGAGTGATGAATCACCTGAATACACAGTCCCCACACTGGGCTGGGCCCAGGTAGGCCGGGTTGATGTCCCATTCTACAGGGGAAAAAACTGAGGCCAGTCCAGGGAGTTGAAGTGATTTGCCTGAGGTCACAGTGAGTGAGTGGGGGTGGGGTGCCAGGATTTGAGCCAAGCTCTGTCTGCCGCCATTGCCGAATGAATGAATGAATGAATGAAAGTACTGGAACCTAAAGCACAGGGTGTGAACTGACAGGCCTCCCAGAGCCCTGGCTGTCACTTGGCCTGGGGAGGAAAAGCTGGGAAGCCTGGTTGGTGGAGGGGACCCAGACTGGCCTGAGGGAGGTGGCAGAGAGGAGGGCTCACTTGTCGGGACCGAAGGCAAGGCTGAAGGTGAGAGCGCAGGACCCTGGAAGCTGGGGCAGGAGCTGAGGTGGAGCTGACAGTGGGGACAGGGGCACCTGCGAGGCTCCTGTGGTCAGGGCAGCCTTCTGGGCGTGGGGCAGGAGTTTGGATGGAAATGTGTTCACTGGAGCCCCAGGGCGGGATGGCAGGGCTGCCAGTGTTTCCCCATCTCCCCATCTTTTGATCAATGAGTGATTGATGAGTGATGAGGGGCTGGTAACAGGTCGGCCCCAGGACTTTCCGCGATGCTGAAGGAGACTGTAGGCCTGACCCCCAGCCTGCGCACAGTAGGTCCTCTGGAAATGCTCAGTGAGGCCTTGGCCCTGGATCACCCGGCCTTTACCCCAGCCCTGTCTTTTCTTTCAGAGCTTCCAGAACCACTGCCCAAGCAGCAATGGCCCCGCCCTGGGTGCCCGCCGTGGGCTTCACACTGGCACCCAGCCTGGGGGCCTTCCTAGGCTCCTACCATGTGCGCGGAGAGGGCCTCCGCTGGTATGCCAGCCTGCAGAAGCCCTCATGGCACCCGCCTCGCTGGACGCTGGGCCCCATCTGGGCCACGCTCTACTCCACCATGGGGTAGGTGGGCCCGTCCACCATCGGGCAGGGGGGCAGGACTGTCCTCCCCTTTATAGGGGCCCAGGCCTGAGGCAGGGCGTCTCCTGCAGGGTTTTAACTGTCCAGTGTTCCTTGGGCAGCTGGCACTGTTTCTGGGCCTCTTCTGCCAAGGGAGGGTGGAGAAAGCTGCGGGGCCTGTTGATTTCCCCACCGAACTTTCCCCTCCGGGCCTCCTGAGGGGCGGGCCGGATGGCTCAACCCCACACTGGCTGTTTTCACAATTCCAGGGCGAGACTGGCTTAGTGTGCAAAGTTCAGGCGTGGACAGTGTGGATGCTTCCCAGATCAATGGCAGTAACAACAGAAGCAGTAATAGTAGCTTCCATTTGTTGGGCATCCATTTGGGGCCGGGGCTAGAGGGTAGGGATGCTGCAGGAGCCCCTGGACTAGACCCTGGGAGTGGCTATGCTGAAAGGAAGTGCTGCATGAGGGCGTCCCCTGGGTGCTCCAGTGGGAACCGCACTCATTAGTTGAGGTCAGTGTCCCTCCCACCTTCTGGAATGTTCCCTGCGTCTTGGTTCTGTGCCAGCCCAGTGCCCTGTGGGACTGCAGACACTAGGCATCCTAGAGGCAGGTAGCAGAGGTTAGGCTGGATGCCCCAGGGTTCTGGTGGGAGTAAGCCCCTGAAACCTTGTTGTGGTCACCTGGGCCCCACCCCCCACCAGCCCTGTTAGGCTCCCAGCATTCCCTGTGTCCTGTTTTTTCTCCAGTCCTGGCCCAGATACCTTGTTTCTGCTTCAACTCGCTCTAGCCTCCAGGCCCCCGCAGTCCTCCTTGGCCTTTCTCTACCATTGAGATCCTGAGACAGCACAAACGTGGCCCTGTCTCTTTCCTGGAACCCCGTGGAGGCTCCCTTAGGCCCTGAGGAGGTCCAACCTCTTGCAGAGTAAAGATCCCAGGTTCTGCCCTGGCCACCTCGGTTCAAATCCTGCCTCTACTTGCTGATTGCCTGTTAAGAAATCTTGGACATTTCACCTCCCAGTGCCTCAGTTTCCTCACCTGTAAAATGGGGGTGATACATCTGCCCATCTCAGCATTATCATGAGGATGAAATGTATTAATGCTTGGAAAGAGCTAGAGCGGTGCCTGGGGTGTGTAGTGTTAAAGGGCACTGGCTGTTACAGTCAGCGGTGTTATCGTAGCACGTGAGGCCTAAGAGCCCCCATGACCAGGTCCCCATTTGCCTCTTCAGCTTTGCCTCTCTGGTGCCCTCAAGATCTCAATCTGCAGTCATGTGGGCTGACTCAGGGTCTCCCACATGTCTCTAAGCCTTGGCATAGCCTTGTTAACTCCCCCTGGCAAACTCCTACTCATCCTCTAAGGCCCAGCCCAAATGTCCCATCATTCTCTGCAGTGCCCAGGCTGGGTTAGGAGCCTCAGGTGCTTCCTTCTTCACAGCACCGATAATGATAATCATGGTAAATACTGAGTATCTCATGTGCCAGGTACCGCCGTAAGCACTGCCAGTGTTAACTTGACTCGCCACAGCAACCCTGTGAGAAATGAAGGCCCAGAGAAGTCAGGCAGCTTCCCTGAAGTCACACAGCAGTCCGTGGCAGGGAATGCCTGAGCCATTACTATGTCATCCCAGAGGTGAATGTGACTCCCTGCCCCCCAGGGAGGCTCTTGGCCTCTTCCCTGTTGGTGCCCTGACAGGTGGCCTCTGTTTCAGGTATGGCTCCTACATGGTCTGGAAGGAGCTGGGGGGCTNGTATGGCTCCTACATGGTCTGGAAAGAGCTGGGGGGCTTCTCAGAGGAGGCTGTGGTTCCCCTGGGCCTCTATGCTGGGCAGCTGACTCTGAACTGGGCATGGCCTCCCATCTTCTTTGGCTCCCGACAAATGGGTTTGGTAAGTGTTCCCCTGGTCCCTGGGGATGGTCCATGGAGGGGTGGGCTTCCTGTGGGGGGCATGGGCATCACATCCCAGGCAGGATCGGGGTCTATAGTAGGTGGCACATAGCTCACGTCAGCCTCTCTTTGGAAGCTCTTAGCGGCCAGTGCCCAGCTGTGGAGCTCCTGGCTGCTTTTCCTGCAGCCAAGGAGCCTTGAGGGGCTCTGACTGAAGCCAGACAGGGGTGCTGGCTTGAGTTTAGGGGCCATTGTGTAGGAAAACCCACATCACACCTGGCGCCGTGCACCCCACACATGGAGTGGGACAGGCAGGAGCCATTGCCCCCATTTTACATATGGGGAAACTGAGGTGGAGAACTGGAGAGGGGCGTGGCTGGGTCATTTAGGGTGGAACTGAGTGATCTCTCCAGCGGTCAAGTGGCTGGGCAGCCGGGACATGCACCCTTGTGGGTACCCTGAGCCTCAGGCCTCCCTGTCCTCCCTCCCCGCCATATCTCCACAGGCCCTGGTGGACCTCCTGCTGACGGGTGGGTTGGCAGCAGCCACCACCATGGCCTGGCACCGGGTGAGCCCTTCGGCCGCCCGACTGCTCTACCCGTACCTGGCCTGGCTGGCCTTCGCTGCCACACTCAACTACTGCGTCTGGCGGGACAACCATGGCCGGCGTGGTGGCCGAAGGCTTGCGGAGTGAGGTCCCCGCCATACAAGGACTGGCTGCTGCCAGGCACGCCTTGCTGGTGGTGGTGGCCCTCACGCTTTCATGGCCACCACACAGTGAGTCTGTCAGGGTCTCAGCCCAGGGGTCACCACCAGCTTCAGAGCTGCTGCAGGCCTGGCCCACTCCCCCGAAACAGCGTGCTGCGCTTTCTGCACTGCTCGGGGCACGGCTCGGGATGTGGAGTTTTATAAGCCAAATAAAGTTTTTAGCTTAGCACTGCCCTTTTTCTCAGGTGGGACCCTGGTGTGGGTGGGGAAGAGGGACTCATCCTCCTGCTGGGTCTGTCCGGGCTGGGCCTGGTCAGGGCTCCTGCACCCTTGGGG